TTTCTCACGACTTCCTATTTATATCCAACTTGTGGTGTTTTGTTTGAATTGGTCAGGTGTAATTCTCACTTCTGGCATCAACATCCCTCCAAGATCATCGTTCAGGTCAAATCTGCCAGAAAATACGGGTACTCTGACGAAGATTTACTTGTTCGGGTTTCGGCAGTTTGCTGACTGATTCGGAGTCCCTTACTTGAAATGGTGTTTCCCGAGCTTCCCCGGAATCCCAACGGTCATTTGCAGTGCTTGTGATCAGTGTGTAAAATCAGACATGCCTCGCTCGTCCTTCGTATTATTTGTGATCGGAAATACGCGATATCGCAAAATACTTTCCTGGCCACGGCGCCACTCCCAAATTTAACTCTAAAGATAATGGACCACCCTTGGTCTGGTGAGACACTCAACAATGGCTATGGTACTTGCATCAGTGATGTTTATTTGCAGTAGCTTGCGTGTAGAGAGTCACGGAAAATTCTGTGGCTTTAACATGAAAATACACTAGGTAATGCAAGTACATGAATAATGCTGCACTTTATCTTTCAAATACTTGTTTCCTCACCCGAGTATTTTCATCGCGAATAAACTAGTTGCATGGAGATCGGGTAATAAGTAACCCCAAATTACTGATCGGCATTTTCAAAGCAGGTGAAAAGATTACATACAAACTCACGCTGATTCGTCTCTTTATCTGAACCTTGGGATGGCAGAGACAATTTTAACGACACATATCAAATGACGATAATTAATAACGTTACGTCGTCATTCAAGTTGGGTCAAATGTCTGGATAAAGCACATTGCCCTCTCATGTATTGTGGTTTCCGTTCAGATTCAACTGACAACGCAAACTGATATTTTAGGAACGATTTTACTTGCACCAAGATTGGCATGATGTAAGATTAACGGTCGTTATACGAATGTTGCCCTTTTTGTGGAGCCAACTTGAAAGAAGCGGCGCGTATTGGGTGTGTGTAAAGGCATCTGCAATGAAAAGCACCCTCGAGCAGTTTCCAAGGCTGACGATTTTGGTATTCCAGCTGTGTTACCTGGCTACCGGTCTAAGTACGCCAGCCATATGCTGCAAGTCCCTATAAGAATATACTCTTCATGGTCAAAGACGGGGTAACTGCAGCAGTGCGTTTTATCGTAAATTATCCTCACCATAACCATGAAGTCACATAGATGGTAGGTACCTTTGCTGAAAACAGGGCTCAACTGTAAAGTTTTGGCAAATCTTTCCAGCGGGTCAAGTATGATTTCGGATGAGGGCTCCTTTCACTAACAAAATGCTCTGCAAATGGCCATGGAACCATGCTGCATGCAGCCATGCACAATTTAAGTGTGCATGAGTGTCCCCCCCAGGCCATTATAATAACGGGAGCCCTCGTATTAAGCATAAGGTTTGAAAGCCCATTTGCCGCATTATCACATGTAGGGTATGTACCCTTATAATACGTACGGCAAATTTGTATAACTCGAAAACCCCTCTGCATTGATAGAGGTATAGCATGACTGCAATCTATGTGTTGATCTGGAACTCGGATGCAGTTTCACCCAATCGTTTTATTGGAAATTTGACTTCATTCGACAGATCTCGATGATTAGCTGTCACAAAGATGATCGCACTGAAGTCTCATGAATTGGAATCGGGCCTTGGCTATTGAACTTAGGGCGCCTTCAAGGACAGCCACGCTGAAGCGACGGATAATTCATCAGAATACAACAGATTTTCGCCGATGCCAAGATGAGCATCATAACGCATAATGTACCCATTTAAAGTCCAATTGTGTATCTTGACTTGTTTCGTCCTGGCAACTGAGGTCGGCCTTACGCATTTAGTCTATTTGAATGAGAAATATATATCACCCACCTCCCCCAGACGCCCTCATCGACCTGATCCCCATCGCCCGACGCAAACCAGAAAGCACTATTGCAAAATTTATCCAATTCCCCCCATACACTACCACAATGGTCATTTTCTCCCCTCTCATTTTCCTCCTACTCTGCGCATCAAGCAGCGCACAAACAGCCTCGGATTTTCTCCTCGCTGCCATCAGAATCAAAAACGTAAACATTTTAAGTCTGGAAAACATATCAAAAGTCAACCCCCTGGACCCATCTTTTACCCCGAGCGTAAGTGGCCTCATCAACTTGTCCTCTACCCTATATTATCACCACTCCCACGTCAGTGAAGATACCAACATAGCTAACGTTTTGAAATAATTCAACCACACAGCTTATCATAACCCCCCTTGGGAATATTGCCAATGTGATTAATGAAGGCACGGCGAGCCTTCAACCGGGTGCCCTCTACTCCCACGCAGACTCGCAGAAAATTATCAACGCATTGCAGACTGGCGATTTTCGCGCAAAAGGAGTAGCCGACCTATTGTTGCATTTCAGTGAGCTCCCTATCGTGGGCGAAATCTTCACGCCAGCCGTTCCTTATGCAATTAATATTACCAAGGCATATCAGGTAGGCACGAATCCTGCCCACAATGAAATCATTCCTTGCGCATGGATTTTGAGTAATGTTCTGAGTACATGTAGGGATTTGCTTCAAAGGCCATCTTTCGCATTCCTGGAGAATTTGAGAAACAGTTCTATGACTATTTTGAGGACACTTCGCTGCTCTGGAGCAGGGTCATATCATTCATGGATCGGTATTAAGAGGCTGTATGGTTGGGATCGGAGGCTCAATGGGTATTGATGTTCTTTGATGGAAATTAATTTTCCAATGTTCTGGCATGTTTGCGGGCTTTTGGGTTGTATTTAAAGTGATAAACTTGAATTATAATTATGGTGGCATGTTGAAGGGCACAACACTCTCTTCATGGGCGTATCGGTGTGAACGCAAACGACAGTTTCGAGGCTCCAAAATGTTAGTTCCGCAATCAGCATATGCGATACAAGCATAAGCTTGTTGTGGGGCATGAGACTATTGCTGGGATATATTTTACCCTTCCTTGGTCTGTCAAGACGGATAGGTTTAGGAAGAGAACTTATGGCGCTCTTGTCACCAATTCATGCGGCCCCATGTTGTCGAAAGTCATGTCATGATTTAAGGATGATCGTTGGCGACATAATGATTCAATAGGTACAAATATAAGCAATTTTAAGATGTTAGAAGCTCAAGGCTTTCTCATCTGGTAGCTGTTTTCGAACCCAAAACCCATCTACATCATCGAGCTCTATATACATAGACAACGGAAAATGCGCGATAAAGGGTCGGTGAAAAAAAGAGATTACAACCAACCACAAACCGACAAATTTCTCCAAACACATGCCCTCCGAAGCATAATACCCGAAAGATAAAAACGAATCGAAAAGGGACAAAAAGAATTGCGGTCATGCGAAGACTTGAACTTCGAACCTCCCGATTAACAGTCGGACGCGCTAACCAATTGCGCCACAAGACCAATGATGACCGTTCCTACATACATTATCATATATTCCGGGTTTGTCTTTCAGTGGTATCTCAACCATGCGAAACAGGTATCTTTCTAGTATGAGCATAAATTCACGATGGACATGAAAGCCAATACCGAACGGCATGCTACCCCGGGGATTATCTATCAACGTATGGTTCAAAATTAGATTATATCTTTTTTTTTTGAAATCAGTTTATTATGCATGCAAGTATGATCAACGCATACTTTTTCAATAAATCAATGTTCAAAACTCATGGTAAATTGCCTGTAGCATTGAGTGCTACGTATTGATGAACCCCGCCTTTAGCCTGTATCATAACAGACATAAGCATAAATTTATATAATTATAACCATACACTTGGCAGTCCAATGATAAGCTGGTGTGTAAACGTCATTTCATCACAGACAGAAACCCAAAGCCCCAGATATGTATGCTTTTAATGAGAGTGATCTGAATTCTGGCTGCAGTGAAGAGTGTCGCGAGTGCATAATGACATCGTTCCCGGCAATATCAATCTTCTAGATGTCACTTATATATATATAGAAGAACGATCTAGATGGCATTGCCACACAGACTGTTAAAAGTCCAAAATAAATATGAGTGAGCAAACAAATTCTTTGAATTCAAGATCAGCTAGCGTTACAGGTTTCAATAAACATACCACAAAATGAAGTATATAAGAATGTATGCTTGTCCAGTATGTTATACTCAAAACGTAGCCTCAGCCCCAGCTCCAATCTTTTCGAGATTTGAATACAACCGAGTCAAAAATGAAATATATTAAGCCACTATTATATTGAAAACTTAACAATTATCAATATAATCTCCATCTCAAGCGTGATCCGATGTTTCACAATCGTGACCCCCCCTGATCCTGTGACGTTCACCTCTCTGTTCATGCATTTACCACTCTGAATATCATCCTCACTATCCTCGTCCGCCTGGCTGTCAACGGCGTCGGGATCATCTTGCTGGCTGTTGACATACTCCTTGCTATCGTTGTTCTTCTGGCTGGCTCTCAACATCCTCTCAGGCCGAGGTCCAAGGCTCTAGGTATACACCTCCTAGCCCAGGTTCTGAGGCTCGCACCTCTCAGGCCGAGGCTACCTGTAAAGTAGTACTCTCAATTTCAGTCAGTATCGAAGAAAACCTAAATTACAATCTACTATCTTGTAACTGGAGTCACTTGTGAGAACTGGGTACCAACGGTAACTACTCTCTCATCATGTAGTACTGTTTTGGTCGATCGTACTCTCTTGCTCGCCAATTTCTGCGGTATCATACACATCTTATAGCGAATCATTTTCATCATGGGCGCCGCCTGTAATCTTGGACCAGACTTAGGTCTAAATGTGATTTGAGTATCCATGGCACAATCTCAAAGTCTTTAATCCCTGGAAATATACTACTCCTTTTGAGCCTACGCGGAGTGGAAATATAAGTGACAATTGCTCGTAGGCGTATTCATATACAAGGGTTTACTTGCACCCGAACCTTAAATTCAACGGAGAAGATCTCGAAGCCACGCCAAGCGTTAATTAATGTCAAACATCCTCAAACCTCATCAATTGCCCGGTTGGCTCAGTCGGTAGAGCGTGTGACTCTTACTTTACGACTGCTTCATCACAGTTGTAGATAAGTTATCTCAAGGTCGCGAGTTCGAGCCTCGCATTGGGCTTACAATTTTGCCGAAATTTATATTTTCCTGAACGGGATAACCACCTGCACATGCATTATCTTGGAAATCATTCTCTAGTCGCCTAATTCCTGTTCTCGCCCTGCCTCACCTTTTCATCAATATCTAGTCAATTACAACTTGGACTCCAAAATTTGTCAATTTCATTGGCGTACGTGCAATATTTCCTAGTCACCCTTTTAACGTAACGCATCAAGATGTGTTTCGTTTTCTGGGATGAATCTTCTTGATTACCCGCGGGCAGGCATGCCATAATTGTGCATCTCCTTCGTCCTGCCTCGTTGTATCACGGTAATAAATATTGCAACTGCTAGATTGAATTCACACCTACCAATCACCATTAGAATAGGTCCATGTTCATGAAGATACCATAATGGGCAATATGAAGTATGATCATCGAATTAAACCCGCAGTAACATACCAAAGACTCCCCTTACAAGCAAAATCCATTTGAAAATAACCGTCCAACAAGCAGCCATACTCGCCGCCGAAACTTGCCCGCCTCCAAAATACCATTTGATATAAGAATAAACCCGATGAACACCGAATACCTGACAGGGTATGTTTGTATTTATTAGTAAAATCATTTTGCATATATATTCCTATACGAAACGTCATTGCAAGATGTTCCACCATCCAAGGGTTAGTATGTAGTGCTTAAGATTGAAAAAGCCACCAGCAGCTAGACAGCCTCCGGACCATGTGCATTGAAAAGTCCCAGTGATTCTCGTTACCTACTTCACGCAGTCTAGCTTTGCTTGAGAAAATGTTCAATCATTCAATCGCATAATTAAATAAAACTCCACAATTTCCAGACGTAATCTCAATCGGGATTCGATTCAATCCAGAACCTGCTGCCAAAATATAGAATGTGGCGGGATACACGTTACAATGTTTGCTGTACAAAGTGTAACTACCTACCGTACAGAAAGTATAGGGATAATTTCCCCACTCATGAAGCAATGTCGGGTCTAGCAGAAGAAATGACGAATATGGAAAGCATAATTTGATTTGTGGACGCGGATACATTAGCATTTATTTCGGTATATCGCTACTTCAAGCATTATTCGTGTTTTTTGACACCATATTGCAATTGGATTGGCTCACAATTTCCTGTTCAAATTAAATACTATTGTAGTGTGAATGATCTCGCGGCCTAAATTGATTATTAGTTTCTGGATTCCAGGTTCGCTTCAATTTTGTAAGCACAATTGACCGTCTTGCAAACAAAAGACTAAGAAGGATTTCATAGAAAAATTCGTTGATCAAAAAATAGTTCAAATAAATAATTGCCTGTAGTTTTGTTTATAATTTTACATCAGTATCATCAGTAGGTCAACCTAATGCTACCACGGGAGCTTAACACATGGTGAGCCTCGATGTTGCCTACTGCGGCTCTCCTCAGCCGCACCAACAACAAGGTAATCGATAGCCACACTCGTTGCAATTGTCAAGCTTCCGACGCTGTTACTGGATTACCCCAACTTACAATCCCTGTCCATCGTCCACCACAGCCAATAATCCGCATTGCCCGGATCATCGGCCCGAAGTCCCCAAGCTATTAATAAATAGGCAACCAGGTCACTATTCTGCGGGGTCGAACGTGGGGGCGGGGAACATATTCTCCGCATCGGCATTGCTCCAGGCCAGCACCGGAGTAAATATTTCCCCCAACGCGACACGCAATTTTGAACACAATCCACCCCAATTCGCTCTGTGGATAAATATCATCACGGGAAGCAATATTACCGGAAAAATAAAAAAAAAGAAGGAAAGCAACGAAAGTTAGTACTCGGTGTCATATTGAAGTTACCCATACATTTCGGCTGATTCGTTAAATTAGTTTCTGCTAGAAACACGGCTCCTCCGGAGGAATACCTTGGATCCATGTCTGCATCTGTGAGTTTTTTAACCCATGAACCTCATTTTTGAGAGTACGACTGATTGTTTGAAAGGGTAAGCAGAATGCACAGAGTTCGGGGTGGGGTATTGGGCCTAGCGGCTCCAAAAGGGCTAAGCGTGAGTAGACTACTGTTGGCGAATTCCCCCCTGGTTATCTATAGAATGACGACATCAGGGGAATAATATAATGCAATTATTGTACTGACATAAAAGGTGGTTAACTAAAGAAAACGGAGATGAGGACACAGACCGGGAAATTGAGAATGGTCAATGAAAACTTTCCAGAACGATGTAGGGGGCTTGAAAAACTAACGCTTGCCACAGCGAATCTCGGAACAGCCGGTTCGGCACGCTCAAATGAAGCAATAACATACTTTCCAAGACCAAGTATCATCAACAATCCCCAACACGTCGACAGTTCCATCAGCATCGGAAGTCACAACCGCTACTATCACGACAATCGAGTGGACAATCACGTTGATAACCGAGTCATTACAACATATGTTGGTCAGTGTCATTCCTTGAGTTTTCTGCAGAATGCGCGTACTGATGAATTGACCTTCTAAGATCATGGTCGTGATTATGAGCTTCTCAAAATTCTGTCACCCCTGGAGCCAATCAAGCGGCATCAAGAGATATGCCGTTCTCGTTTGAATAACTCTGGAACGTGGTTCACAGAGGGCGAGCAATTTCTATCATGGATCCAAAGTGGATCGGATATAGATCCCATTAACCGAATGCTCTGTTGCTACGGAGACCCAGGTGCTGGGAAGACGGTGATGAGGTACATGTGTCGCTCCTTCTCAATGTTTGTTCTTACAGCTAATACATGTTTGGTTTTTTTGAAGTTCCATTGTGATTGAAAAGATATTTCAATTGAGTGCCGCTCATGGAAGGATTGGGGTTGCAGTCATGTACTGTGACTACCAGGATAGAGAGGCCCAGACGAATTTGCACATCATAGGCAGTTTCCTTCACCAATTGCTCCTGACATTGCCGTATGGTACCCCCAGGGAAGTGTACGACGAAATACAATCGATTCGGCAGCGAGGCAGACACGTGGAACGCTCCGATCTCACCAAAATGCTAATGGCAACGTTGAAAGAGTTTCATACCGTTTATGTTTGCATTGATGCGTTGGATGAGCTTCATCCGATGACTCTGACAGACCTGTTGGTGGGTATGGGGAACAATTTTCCGACTGCCAGAGTGTTCTTGACTGGGAGGCCTACGGTTCGGGATGTTATTAGACGGACCCTAAAGTTGTCAAAGGATGAAATCAACACCACCATTAGGGCCGATCCGGATGATATTCAACACTTTTTACTGGCCAAGATAGCGGAGGATTATATATGGAACCCATACTCTATGAATGACGAACTCAAGGCGGAGATATTGAATACCCTTATCAACCACTCCAAAGAAATGTAAGTGGAAATCGATATTGACTACGCCTGGGTTTATGCGTTCTCGTCAATGTGTTATTGTACTGGTCGTGCTCCCGGCACATACAATATCGTTTGCTGATATTTGCGCCGCAGTTTTTTGCTACCAAAGTTGCAAATCCCCCTTGTGCTTGCAGAGGCGACTATCTCCGGAAGACGAAATGCTCTGAGACGGTTATCATCACAAGGACTTACCACCGTGTTCTCTCACATGGTTAGGAGAATATTTGAGTCTCAATCCAGCCTCGGAAAGCGGACACTTTTGATACTCCAATTTGCATGCCGGCCATTATCTGCCGCAGAACTACGAGATGCACTCGCAGTCGCAATTCGGGGCGATGGCTTGTACGATGCCGATCAAGCAGATTTCGACAGGGATAATGTTCCCCCGTTGGAGCTGGTGATAAATAGCTGTGCTGGATTGGTCACTATGGACTCGGAGGAAAAAAAAGACGTCCGATTCTTCCACGCCACGTTTGCAGAGTTTCTTGAAGATCACAGCAATATGTACTTTCCTCTGGGGGAATTCAGCCTGGCTGAAATTTGCATGACCTACCTTACCTATCGTAACGTGCATGAACATTGCAGCGACTTTTTCCAAGTTCTTGAACGAGGGAAAGCATTTCCCCTGTTAAACTACGCGGCCTGTCACTGGGGTCACCATGTCTCTCATGCTCTTCGACACGGTGAGCTTAACGGTGCGATCGAACTGCTGGTCTTTAAGCTTCTACAGCCTTCTGGCGGAAGGCCTCCATGCGCATTTCAAGAATTGTCCAGTGCACGCATAATGAATCTAGCATACATGTACTCGCCGCACACATTGCTCATTACCGGCGTTCACGTGGCAAGTTTATTTGGCTTGGACAGGTTCATACCCCAGTTGACTAAGGCAAGTGGGTCCGTCGATGTGATTGACGAGCGGAAGGCCACCCCACTCCTGTATGCGGCCGCAAATGGGCACGAGTCCACCGTCCAGCTACTTCTTGGGTTGGGGGCGGATCCGGAGATCGTGGATTTACAACACAATTCGCCGCTTGCACATGCTGTTATGTGTGGTCATGAAGGTGCTGTGCGAGTATTGCTGGATAATGGAGCAGATGCGTTATCGCGGGACATTCGTGGAAGTTCGATACTCATCCACGCTGTGTTGGAAGGGCATGTTGGTGTGGTGAAGTTGCTCCTGCTTCACGGCGGAGTTGATGTAAACGCGGGGGGTAAAGGTGGCATGACGCCCCTGACGTATGCCGCAGAACGAGGGAATGTGGCGATCGCGAAGCTGCTGCTCCAGCAGCAAGGCGTTGATGCGGACATGACAGATAGGCATGGTTATTCAGCGCTCTCGTATGCCTCAAGAGAGGAGATTGTCAAGCTTTTGCTCGAGAAAGGAGTGAGAGTGGACTTGAGAGATAAGCTCGGGGATACTCCACTAATTCGTGCGGCCCGATGCAATCATATGCCTGTGGTAAAGCTTCTTCTCCTGCCTGAAGGTGTAGATGCGGACTCGACAAATTTGCAGGGCATGTCAGCGCTCTCGTGTGCCTCAGGGCATGGGCATGAGGAAATTGTCAAGATGTTGCTCGAGAAAGGAGTGAGGGTGGACGTGAGAGATGAGTACGGGGATACTCCACTATTGGA